TACTGCTGGTACCAGTTTTATATTTGGAGTGTATATAAGAAATGAATACTTTGGTATCAAAACTCTCCTGTATTTTGCAATAATTTTAACCAAACAGTTAACTTCTCCCACCAATATGTTCATTAAGTTTCACTGTGAGAAAAAGTAATACTTAATTTTTATTTCCTGTTTAACATTTAAAGTTAGACATTTCTGATTTTGCAATGAGAAACATCAGTTTATCCAGGAGAAATATCATAAAAATTAACCATAATGTTAACAAATTTAAATTAATGAAGAGTACAATTTAAAATAAATTTGAGTGATATTCATTCTATAATGTATACATGTTTCAAAACATTGCATTACATACCTTAAATATATACAATTTTTATTACATCTTCTAATGTTGGTATAATAGTTTTTAAATTTTTTTTGAAAAGCTTGTAAGAAATAATCTTATTCTCCTGAAAGTTAACCAGAATGTGCAGAGTTCACTTTTACAGTATGACTTTCCCAAATTTTAGAATGATTAATTCAGTTTCATGCCAATCACTTCATCTGAAATGACAAGTTGCTTTTGCAGTGAATTATCACAGTGGCTCTTCTGGTTTCACATGTGGTCTGAAGAACTATTTACTACTTAATGGTTTTCTATACATTGTATTCATAATTTAGTACAATGGCTACAGTTCCTGTATGGAAATTATAAAATATTGAAACCCACCCTGTGCCATACATTGTGCTAAAAATGTGCATCAATCTATTATGTAGGTACTATGATTATCAACATGTATTCCGGAGGTGTGACACATTAAATAAGAGGCTCAAGGTTAGATGGAGGTGAGGGGTGGGAAAGTAGTAATCAAACTCAAATAGTCTGATTTATTGTATCAACCCATTTATCTCACTGAATTTTAGTTAAGTTTATGTTGTGTATAAAATTTTATAGCTTTAAAAAGTTATTTGAGGTCTTCTTACTTTAAGAAGGATGTGAAATATTTTCCAAAAAATTAAAACTTAAAAAAATCAAGCAGTGTTTATCTTATAAATATACATATATGTATACATATATGTATATCTACCACTGTGTTTAGAAATAACATATATATGCTACTGTGTTTAGAAATAAACATATTTTCTGGAGTCCAATAGAATAATCTCATTTGTAATTGGGGCTTTAAAAAAACTGGCTATAAAAGTTATCAATATAATTGTTGATTAATATTTAATAAATATACTTCAATATATAAACATAAATATATTGGATTAATATTTAATAAGATTTATAATTTATATTTATAAATAAAGATAATAGCTATATTTTATTATAGTTATAAATATATTTTGTTAAATAGTATAATGGCATATTATGACTAGTATAATATAATAATAAAATAATAGCAGCATATTAACATTTTCATTAAAAATCTAAGCTTATCATTAAGACATTAGCATTTCTTAAGCTAACATATTTTAGCCACCCAAATTTTTTAAATTTCCACTTTTTTTTGAGAATATTTCCCTTTCCCATAGCTACTCCCAACCTTTTTTTATCTTCTATATGCATTCTGGTCATTGTTTCAGTATGCCTACTTTACCTTTATATATTTTTTAAATTATTCCATAATTCATCAGAGATAGCACATTATTTCCTAAGTACTCTTAGAGTCTTTGACTTTTATGTAATGGATTCATCATCTATCATCTTTTAAAATGTCCAGTTTTTTTCAAAAGCCTATTTTGCTACTGGGGACTTAACCAAATGTTTCTCTATGTCCATCATTTTTCAGTGCAGTGCTCTGAGAAATTGGTTGGCATTTGGTACTTCCCAATCTTTTTTATTAAAATAATTCATATCTAGATCATCAGTATGCTTCTAATAGCCTCTGGCAACTGCTTAGCATTAAAATTTTTCAAGTTACCTCCAGCTCTTCACATCCCAAATATTGTAACTTACAGCTCAATATACCCCAGGTCTGGACTCTGTGGTCATGTGTCTAAGGCTTAAAGAAAATGAGGGAGAGCCAAAGAAAAATTAGGCAAAATGCCTAAAGCTTAGATTCCTCCCATTCTGTTTTTCAAAATGACAATCTGCTATCTGAACAGTGAAATATGTGGGCACCAGATTGAACATAACCGTAGAGTTCTTTTGAATTTTATTTCAGATAATTTACTTATTAAATGTCACCTCTATTGATCTTCATGTGAAACCCCTTATACCTGTTGCTATTTATGTTTCATTGCTACTGCTTGGAAAGGTATTAGTGGAAGTGAGTTGCCGGGGAATTCCTTTCTGACCTTTTCTTTTGCAGTTGAAATGAGCAGAGTTTTGTTCTAAGAAGACAATTCTGACAACAGAAACAGCACTAAAATAGAGGAACCACTTTATCTCCTCCAAAGTTCTAAAAATAGAGAATCTTCCACCTCTAGGATTAGGTTTTTCCATGGAAATTTTTCAGAGGCAAAGCATAAAGATTTAAAGTGTCTGAAAAATTCTTTTTTTCTTTTTTCTTTTTTTTTAAACACTGAGTTTGGCTCTTGTTCCCCATGTTGGAGTGCAATGGTGCATTATCAACTCACTGCAACCTCCGCCTCCCAGGTTCAAGTGAGTCTCCTGCCTCAGCCTCCCAAGTAGCTGGAATTACAGGTGCCTGCCACCACTCCTGGCTAAATTTTGTATGTTTAGTAGAGACAGGGTTTCTCCGTGTTGACCAGGCTGTTCTTGAACTTCTGACCTCAGTGATCCACCTGCCTTGGCCTCCCAAAGTGCTGGGATTACAAGCGTGAGCCACTGCACCTGGCCACCTGTCTGGATATTTCTGTATACCTTTTTGTTGTGTGTGTGTAAAGCTTGCCATGATACAAACAAAATATTCAGGCATAAGATACAATCTAAAATTGACTATGACTCCAATTAAGGTTTAACCATAATTCATTTAAGTATGCTAATATTGGTAGTTGTATATTAATTTTACAATTTTAATTACATTCTCATTTGTTACTTGATTTGAATCATATGCTCATAAGTTATCAACATACACAAAATTAAAAGAATATGAAGTTAAGTGACTTTGATTTGTTAATGACAAACTAAGCATATCTAGCTTTAGGCTATGAAATTTGCGTGTGACTGCACCACATCATACTGGTTTACAAATTATTTAAATAATAAGTAATTTTTGATATAGCTCACTTGCATTTTTCTGATTAACCTGATACAATTCCATGACAAGTCATTGATTATTCTCAATAGGAAGCATAACAATCTAATATTGCAAAGAATTCAAATGACATATATTGATATTTGTTTCATTTTTCCACAGGAGTGAATGCGATTGTTTAAATATTCTTTAAACACCAGTGATTTAGAAACACATGGAAATTATATCCATTCTTTCCTCTGCACATTCTTCAAATCTTACTTTTTGTTGGAAATAAGTATGTTTTAAACCCTGCATGGGTTTTTCTCTAGCTGTTCCCCATTGTCTGGCTTTAAAGAACATGGAATTATACAGAATTTCTGAAAGTCCTTTTTAATTGGAAGTTTTAATTTCACCTTAGGAAAATATTGAATATTCCAATAGCAATATGTAATAATGCTACCTATATGTTTTATAAGATTGGAATGGTGATTCCAACTTCATAAAATTTATGTTGATTTTCTCACCATTGTTGATTTAAAAAATCTTTCATTAATAATGTTGTAATTGCTCTAACACATTTTTGTTGGCTAGGCTTTGGGAAAACTTTCTCTGTCTTCTTTCTGTCTCATTTGTCTTTTTTTTTTTTTTTATCAGGATTATAGAGTTTTGCTTCTCTAGCCCAATGGTCAAGGAATGGAGTAGAGAGAGACAATTTAAAAGACTCCAAACTATATGCTTAACAAAAAGTATTGCCCAACCCCAAATGTTGCCAACATAGAATAAGTGATATGACCTAAATATTATAGACGTTGTTAAGCCAAGTTTGTTTTTCCTGCTTTTGTCTCAGAGGTTTTGTGAACAGTAGCACCCCAAAAGAGGCTTTGAAAGTTACATGGATAAAAATGATGTGCACATTATGCCTCTGGTCTTTTTTTTTTTGAGATGGAGTTTCACTCTTGTTACCCAGAGTGGAGTGCAATGGCACGATCTCGGCTCACTGCAACCTCCGCCTCCTGGGTTCAGGCAATTCTCCTGCCTCAGCCTCCTGAGTAGCTGGGATTACAGGCACGCACCACCATGCCCAGCTAATTTTTTTTTTTTTTTTTTTGTATTTTTAATAGAGACGGGGTTTCACCATGTTTCACCACTAGGATGGTCTCGATCTCTTGACCTCGTGATCCACCCACCACTGCCTCCCAAAGTGCTGGGATTACAGGCTTGAGCCACCACACCCGGCCTTATGCCTCTGGTCTTATCTGTCCTTTCTTAGTCAGAAATTAATGGGTATATGTTCAGCTTTACTAATTTGCAAAAACTAAACTTTCTCACTTCATTTTCCATTTTAGATTTTTATAAGGAAACTAACTGGTCTCTGTTTTTCAAATAAGTTTTTGTGAGATCTAGACTGATAAAAGAAACATGCTTAAAAATTGGTTGGTGGCATTTCAATATAAATTTAAGAATCCTTTTCTATTAGGTATGGAACTGATATATAATAACACATGGGTAATTCTTTATAAATCTTGTCGAGTATTCTTTATTAGACAAAGACAAAGAGCAATTAGAATTAGGTTTCTCAGATCTCATTGTATAATTAGTAAAAATGTCTAAATTTGGGCACATTGCTAAGATATCTAATACCATGAGAAACTTATGTCTGTAGAAGTTTTCTGAAAACATAAAAGTTCTGTACAAAAAGAGGAATTCTACTTCCTGTCATGCTTTTCTCAAAACAAAATTTATTCCATTTTAAATAGCACATATTTTGCTGAAAACCATAGTTTCTAATGATTTTGAATTGTTCTGAGTAGCTTTAAAAAACACATTTGTTAACATAGGTTTGTTCATATATGATGTATGTAATACGGACGTGTGGTGCTCACTTCAGCAGCACATATGCTAAAATTGGAATGATACAGGGAAGATTAGCATGGCCCCTGCACAAGGATAACACGCAAATTTGTGAAATGTCCCATATTTTTAGTGTAAATTAGTTCAACCGTTATGGAAGACAGTGTGCCAACTCCTCAAGGATCTAGAAATAGTAATACCATTTGACCTAGCAATGCCATTACCAGGTATATACCCAAAGGATTATAAATTTTTCTGTTATAAAGACACATGCACACATGATCATTGCTGCACTGTTGACAATAGCAAATACTTGGAATCAACCCAAATGCCTATCATGTCATAGACTGGATTAAAACAACGTGGCAAATAGACACCAATGGAATACTATGCAGCCATAAGAAATGATGAGTTCGTGTTCTTTGTAGGGACATGGATGAATTTGGAAACCATCATTGTCAGCAAACTGACACAAGAACAGAAAACTAAACACTGCAAGTTCTCACTCATAATTGGGTGTTGAACAATGAGAACGCACAGACACAGGGAGGGGAACATCACACACTGGGGAGGGGAACATCACACACTGGGGCCTGGTGGGGGTGGGGGGCTGGGGAAGGATAGCAGGGCTGGGGAGATTGGGGAGGGATAACACTAGGAGAAATACCTGATGTAGGTGATGGGGGGACGGAGGCAGCAAACCACCATGGCATGTGTATCCCTGTGTTAGGATCCTGCAGGGTCTGCACATGTACCCCAGAACTTAAAGTATAATAAAAAAAAAGTGGACGTGTATTTTCACAGATATCTCATTGAAAACATATAGGACATGTGTCCTAGTGTATTTTGGGCATGTGTATTTTCACAGTATCTCATTGAAATCATATAGGCATAACACTGATTTACTGTGTTCCTCTTAAAATTTAAATAATCTATTTGGTTTTTTCTTCTTAAAAATTTATTATACTTTAAGTTCTGGCATTCATGTGCAGACTGTGCAGGTTTGTTATAAAGTTATACATGTGCCATGGTGGTTGATTGCTGCATCTATCACCCAGTCATCTACATTAGGTATTTCTCCTAACGCTATCCCTCTTCAATCCCCCCACCTCTTGCTATTCCTCCCCTTGCTATTCCTCCCCTAGCCCCCCACCCCCAGGCCCCTGTGTGTGATGTTTCCCTCCCTGTGTCCATGTATTCTCATTGTTCAACACCCACTTATGAGTGAGAACATGCAGTGTTTGGTTTTCTGTTCTTGTTTCAGTTTGCTGAGAATGATGGTTTCCGGTTTCATCCGTGTCCCTGCAAAGAACATGAACTCATTCTTTTTTATGGTTGCATAGTATTCCATGGTGTATATATGCCACATTTTCTTTATCCAGTCTGTTATTGATGGGCATTTGGGTGGATTCCAAATCTTTGCTATTAGGCATCTGTAAACAAATAAGTGAACTCTCATTCTTTAAAAATAACTCATTTATATTTGTGTCAATAGAATTAATTCTGGGGTATAAAATGTGAAGAAATATACTGAGTGATGTTATAGTAATTATTTTACAGTTCTAAGTAAGCTTCAGATGAATGAACTTGGTGCATTTGAAGGAGGATCATTTTTTGTTTCTTTTCTTTTTTGAGTCAAGGTCGCATTCTGTCACCAAGGTCGAAGTGCAGTGGCACCATCTCCGGCCATTGCAACCTCTGCCTCCCAGGCTCAAGCCATCTTCCCACCTCAGATTCCTCAGTAGCTAGGATTAGAGGCACATATTACCATACCCAGCTAATCTGTGTATTTTTTGTAGAGACACAGTTTCACCATTTTTCCCAGGCTAGTCTTGAACTCCTGGCCTCAAGCAATCTACCTACCTTGACCTCCCAAAGTGTTGAGATTACAGGCACGAGCCACCACACCCAGCCAGGAGGCTCATTTCTAAATCAACATGTAAATGTATTTTAATCTTTAATGTTTATGAATGATGTTTGTATTCTTTAAAGTTTTCTGAAGATTTCAAACCGATCAGTATAGGTTTATATTAACTTATCCATGTAAATTTCATTTAATAAAACTGTAGGAGGCAAAATGAGAAAAAATTTCACTATAATCTCCTTAAATTTATATGAAAACTTGGGTAAATTTTTAATATATTTATATTAATGTAATTGAAGATGTGCCCAGTGTATTATGGGTAACCAGTTTCACAAGATAGGAGTAAAATATGACCATGTACAACTCTAAAAAATATAGAAAACCAGCATTTTTGTAGGCTATTTGATCAATACATTCCTTATTTTTCCCTATATTAAACCTAATATATTCATGGATTTCTTCTATAATACATCCTGCGGTACTGAGCTCTTTAGTCCTTATTTGTGGGTGAATTTTAGTTGTTATCGTGGCCTCTATAAAACAATGATTTCTAATCTTGGATTCTGCACAAGTATTATAAAATCTTAACAAACTAGTTACTTTATTAAAGATACAAAGTATAACAATATATCCATTATTTAAGAAATTTATTCTGCTTCAAAGTTATATTTTGAGAGAAATCATACATAATCATTATTGAGGTGTTAATGCAGTTATATACTCTAAGTGTGCAAAGTGTCATATATTTGTCACATAATTAGGTTTTTCATGTTATTTCTACTTTTTCTTCATGATCCCTTACATATTTTTAATTTAAAAAATCTATTGAGCATAAAATAAATGTGATTCAGAATATTATATTTAATGCTTGTTTATAATACCTGTGAGATAAAGCATTGAACATTGATGGACAATGTAAGCAATCAGTTTTTCTTTCCAAGAGAAGCATTAGCTGATGACACTAGAACCTCCTGTAATTAGCCCCGACATGACTCACCTGTTGTTTAGTTTATAGCATGTAGTATTCTAGCTCCAAACAATCTGGCACAATTTAATAATTCTAAACATTAGTATATAAAATTGTCAGAAATAATGGGGTGTACATATAAAACTCTAAGGTCATGATTATTCCTATGGAAATGCCAATCTTTATTTTTAACAGCTACTTTGACAGAGTTGTTTCATGTGTATGTTTATTGAGTAAATAGATAACACTACAGACATCATCATTAACATAGAAAATAACCTTGCTTGTGATTTTCAGCTATTTTGGAATCTACAGATTGTTTCATGTTTATGAGGGCACTTGTGTAACACTGAATGTTTTCCCTCCTTAATACAAGAAACCCACTGAAATGTATCCATCAGCTGTGCATGACATTACTTGTTTCATTGTTTTTGCTTATTTTTGTTAAATTGTACTTTCAGTTCTGGAGTACATGTGTAGATTATGCAGGATTGTTGCATAGGTACATACATGGTCAGGTGGTTTGCTGTCTCCATCCCCCATCACCTGTATCTGGCATTTCTCCCCATGTTATCTCTCCCCAACCTCCTCACCCCTCTGCTGTCCCTCCTTAAGTACCCCCCGCACGGACTCCAGTGTGTGATGCTCCCCTACCTGTGCCCATGTGTTCTCATTGTTCAACACCAGCCTATGAGTGAGAACATGCCGTGTTTGGTTTTCTGTTCTTCTATCAGTTTGCTGAGAATGATCATTTCCAGATACATCCATGTCCCTACAAAGGACATGAACTCATCATTTTTAATGCAGCATAGTAATCCGTAGTGTTTATGTGCCAAATTTTCCATGTTCAGTCTATCATCTATGGGCATTTGGGTTGATTCCAGGTCTTTGCTATTGTAAACAGTGCCTTAGTGAACATACATGTGCATGTGTCCTTATAATAGAATGATTTATAATTCTTTGGGTATATACCCAGTAATAGGATTGCTGGGTCAAATGGAATTTCTATTTCTACATCCTTGAGGTATCACCACACTGTCTTTTACTATGGCTGAACTAATTTACACTCCCACCAACAGTGTGAAATGTTCCTATTTCTCCACATCCCCTCCAGCATTGTTGTATCCAGATTTTTTAATGATCGCCATTCTAACTGGTGTGAGATAGTATCTCAATGTGGTTTTGATTTTCATTTCTCTAATGACCAGTGATGATGAGCATTTTTTCATATGTTTCTTGACCTCATATATGTCTTCTTTTAAAAAGTGTCTGTTTATATCCTTCAACCACTTTTGAATGGGTTTGTTTTTTTCTTGTAAATTTGTTTTAGTTCTCACAGATTCTGGATATTAGCCCTTTTTCAGATGGGTAGATTGAAAAAATTTTTTCCCATTCTCTTGGTTGCTGGTTCACTCTAATGATTGTTTCTTTTTCTGTGCAGAAGCTCTGAAGTTTAATTATAAATTATTTGTCTGTTTTGGCTTTTGTTGACAATGCTTTTGGTGTTTTGGTCATGAAGTCCTTGCCAATCCCTATGCCCTGAATGGTTTTGCCTAGGTTTTCTTCTAGGGTTTTTATGGTGTTAGGTCTTGTGTTTAAGTCATTAATCCATCTGGAGTTAATTTTAGTGAAAGGTGTGAGGAAGGGGTCCACTTTGTTCTGTCTGCACATGGCTAGCCAGTTCTCCTAAGACCATTTATTGAACAGGGAATCCTTTCCCCATTGCATCTGTTTTTGTCAGATTTGTCAAAGATCTCATGGTTGTAGGTATGTGGCATTGCCTCCGAGGCCTCTGTTCTGTTCCATTAGTCTGTGTCTCTGTTTTGGTACCAGTACCATGCTGTTTTGATTACTGTAGCCTTGTAGTATAGTTTGAAGTCCCACAGCATGATGCCTCCAGGATTGTCTTGACTATGCAGGCTCTCTTTTGGTTCCATATGAAGTTTAAGATTTTTTTTTCCAGTTCTGTGAAAAAGGTCATTAGTAGCTTGATGGGGATTGTGTTGAATCTATAAATTACCTTGTTCAGTATGGCCATTTTCAGCATATGAATTCTTCTTACAACATTCCATGAGCATGGAATGTTGTTCCATCTGCTTGTGTCCACTTTTATTTCCTTGAGCAGTGGTTTGTAGTTCTCCTTAAAGAGGTCCTTGACGTCTTTTGTTACTTCTATTCCTAGGTATTTTATTCTCTTTGTAGCAATTGTGAATGGGAGTTCCCTCATGATTTGGCTCTCTGTTAGTCTGTTGTTGGTGTATAGAAATGCTTGTGATTTTTGCTCATTAATTTTGTATCTT